GGGTTGCTTTAGCCTAACCACGGTTACTATAAGAATTCTTCTAGTAACCGTGGCCTAACGAAGCATTATTTTTTTAAACACATCCGGCAACACCCTGCGCGCAGCTATAGTATACGCCACACTGTGTCCCAGTTCGCATTAAAAACTAAAACGAACTTCACACGGATCTGCACACTGCTTGAGTATAGGCTTATGTCAACACCGTTTTCTTTCAAAAAATACGCTTGCCACATTTACGCGACAGCAGTCTATCGGATCAAAACTACTGCTCCTCCCACCGATTAACAAGAGATTATCTCCAATGCGTTTACACGGTCGGGCACAATGGTTGCCGAGATCCGTCCGAGTTCAATCCAGTTCGTTCAAAGCCGAAAGGAACAACCCACACATTACTTAGTAAGAAAACAAGATGGTTTTGTTGTCGTGCTTGTGTTGTTGTTCCTTTACATGACACGATGCATGTCAGAGTATTATCCTGTTGAGCTGAGAGAGAAAGGAAACAGTCATGAATCTGAGACAATGCACTGGTGTCATGATTTAGGTATCTCGAATAAACAGGTACACGTCAGCTAAAGTACGTTAAATAAATGTGTTACAGCCTATTCACATAAGTTAAGTACTACAAATTTACCATCTTCAAATGTGTAATAATTGTAAGCCTAAACCTAGTAGAGACACGTCACCGTACCATGACCGCTTCCACAATTTTTATCTTCTGTGTCTTCAAAGTTTCTTCAAATTGGAACTGTTCAATCGTCCTGTCCAAGTTTTTTTTTCGCAGAATATCGTAAACAATTTTTTAATCAATCGATCGCAGGAGTTTTTTCAGTCTGCCAAATAGATATTAGGGCGCGTACCTCAAGCCAGAAATTACGAACGACTGGTGTTGCCATAATTAAAATGAAAGGTTACTTGAAGAAGACGATTGAGGGCATGATTTCGGCTCGAATGCGTTTACACGGTCGGAGCAATGTCGGGTCGTAATCCTAACCACGGTTCTTTTTTAGTAACCGTGTCCTATCAGAGCTCAACTCCGAGGATTTATTGGAGCCGAACTAGAGCCGCGCCGGCCATTTTTGCTCCGATTAAATGCTGTCGTGTAAACGTAAATATACAAAACGCACAAATACGTAACTAGTGTTTGAAATTTTTCAAAATACTTTACCAGACAACAAGGCAGGTAACTTTAAAAACGTGGTTGCCCTGCTATAAACTTACCAGCCCTATTTATGTTTTCAATATTTTCAATCGTTTCACTATATTCCATTCAATCATTGTCACTGCAGTGACTTTCATCCAAGTAAGAAAAAAAAATGATTCCTAAGCCAGCGCTGAAAAGGCCGGGTACTGGAACTCTCACATATTGTGAGAATTCAGTGAAATCACACACGGTGTGAGAGTTCAAATCATGCGTAGTGTAGAAGTTCGCTAAATAACTCATCGTTCATGAATTGTTGTTTAGGCTACACCGATTTAATTTTATGGATGACATCCGCGCGCGCATTAGTTTTCGCCTGTTCTCAAAAAAAAAAAAAAAAAAAAATCTCCGACGACGAGTCTCCATAGATCGGTTTTCTGTCCGGAACTTGCCGACTCATATTGTCGCAAAGCGCCGACTTATCATAAAACTCGTTTTGGACTACCTCAAAACCAAACTCCGCACAGTTAGATGCGCGTTACGTAAAGCGCAAAGACCTATGGGAAAGAGATTGCCTCAAAACATGCAAATTTTGCCATAAATGATCCAACATGGCGACCACACCACCAAAATACGTGAGCATAAAAGTTCAGAGGTGAAATGGAGGAATTGTTGTAGACTGGTACGCAATTGACGTTGGCCAGGGAGACGTTTACACAGCTATACGAGAGGTCGG